AGATCTGGTGAGGCTGTGGGCCCCAGATAACACCAGCATGTGTTGCACAGGCTGCACGCTGTGGGGGTGGGCCCCTAGGACCCCCTCACTGCACAGGCTGCTCCAGCAGCATGCAGACCCCCATCCTCAGCCATGCAGGCTACTTTTGCAGGACATGGACCACTCCTCCCTGGCCCACAGGCCTTTCCCTCTTGCACAGCAGTGGGTGAGGTGCCTGCCCACGCCCAGGCCCTATGTATTAACTGCTTGCAGACCCCATGTAGACTGTGGGCAACATCCTGGCCTTTTGTGGGCCACATGTGGCCTGCAGGTAGTCAGCTGGGCAGCCCTAATCTAGTCCAACCTCCTGCACAGAAAAATGCTGTCCTGTTCCTAAGCCATACCAAACATACATACTTTCTGAAAACTACAACTTCCTTAGGCACATTTCCAGACCCATTTCATTGTCACTTCCTGTAACTTCATTGGTGTCAATGGTCGCGTGACATCACTTCCTGATGTGATACCACTTCCTGTGAGGTCTTTGAATATGGCTTTCCAGCCCACTGGGTGATTAAAAAGTTTGTGATCCGGCCCCACATTCAAAAAGGTTGGACACCTCTGCTGTAGAGCATCAGTATTAAAATTGTGCATGTTTCAGTACTAAGTACCTTACACTGCAGGCTGTAGAGGGTAGGTTTTGCAATTGCATTTGAAATAACTTGGTTGTGTGAACATTATTAAGCTGTGCTACTTTAACTCAGATTTGATAATGAATGTATTAATTTCTATTCACATTTCTAATGCCATGGAAATATTATGGTGGTGGCATACCATGCTGCTGTGCTGTGTAATGCAGATGTTTTTTGCTGATATTTTTCCAGAGGAGCTTCTGAATAACTTTGCCCAGCAGATAGGAGCCTGGAGGTTCTGCCTGTATTTCCTGTCAAGCACAAGAAATGACTATGTAATGATGTACAGTTTGACTGTGTTTGAGGTAAGTTGGAAAATTAAGGTAACTTTTCTGGAACCTTATTTCTGCCTGACTAGTGGATTTTTCTGTGATAACTCTTGTTTAATGCAATTTTTAAAGGTTTAATTTTAACTATAAAGGTTGTAAGTCTAAAGTGCATCATGGACACAGCTTCTGTAGTGCTCTCATGAAGGGATATTTTTAAAAAATAGTTTTAGAAAAGAACAAAGAATGTGAAGCTTCACATGCAAAGATTTGAAGGAATTGCTAATTGCTTACAAGGTATGAAAGGATTGCCTGAACTTCTATGGAATCATTAATGCAATGGACCTATTAAATGTAATAGGTAGCATGCTTTGCAGTAGTGCATTTACAGTACCTTTGCTGTACGTCTGTGTCACTCTTAGCTGTATCTATCGCCTGGGAGCTGCTACTCATTTCAGAGATGCACTTCTCACTTTTGGGAATTTTAGATGCAGCTGAGAGCAAGGAAAAGCTGCTTCTCAGTTGGTAAATAGAGAGTGCCCTTCTGGCCTCTACTCTGCCATAGGTGGCATGTGCATAACAATGGCTTGCAACTTCACTGTAAATAAGAAATTTCCTTATAACTCTACATGGTGGCGTGTTTTGTTTTTTTGTTTCTTTAACTAACATTCATGGTAGAAGAATGGTGGTAGAGGAACAAAATATTTTGTGCTGCATTAAAAATTCATTTTTGTGCTTCTCCCAGATGTTACCAGACGTTGTCAAGATGTAGGCAAGGCATGAAAATCAGAGGGGTAGTAAGCTACACCCTGACTTGGTGATATTTACCGAGGCTACATGTCTGTCAATAATCTGGATGACTCTTCAGATTAGCGTGATTAACACACCTGATTAGCACACTAGTTTCTGTAATGGCATGTAAGGCAGCAATGTGACTACAAGGCTAAATGTGAAGCAAATTGGCTTATAAACATGATTTAGTGCTGACTCCTTGACCGACAAACTCACCCAGGGCTGTCTTATGTATGTATAATACCTCCATCGCTGTAGTGTCCCGAGTACCTCAATTCTGTCTGTGTCTGTCTGTGTATTTCATATATATATATATATATATAAAAGGGTTTAGTCTGTGTATCTGTCCATAATGATCTTGGGGAGTTGTGGCTCCCAGTAGGGCATGGCTGCAGCCAGTGTTGTGTTAAGAATGACAGGTGGGTTGTGGCTTCAGCAGAGCAGGCCAGGCGAGCACAGAATGAGGGGGGGGGAGGGTGGTGTGGGGCCAGATGCAGAGCAGGGAAGGGGGGGGTGGCATAGGGCCAGATGCGGAGCGGTGGGGGGGGGCACGGTGCTGGATGTGGAGCAGCGGCAATGTTGCACTGGGCAGTGGGGGGGCGCACAGGACCAGATGTTCAGGGCAGGGCGCTGTGCATGGCCGGATGCGGAGCGGCGGCAGCAGCCACGCACTGCATACAAGCTTCCCCCCACCCTTCCCCTGGGAGGCAGCGGCAGTGTGGGGTGGTGGGTGGTGGCGCTGCGTCCCCCCCACTGCCTGTCATTCTTGACAGGCAGTTCACAACTATCTAATATATTGTCCTCATATTTTGTGTATGGCAGTGCTCTTTATTACCATTATACAGATGACAAAATAGATTGCCAAAAGAAAGCATAGGGTCTGTAGTGGAGCTGGGAACTGAATCTGGCTTCTGAAGTCACAGGCTGGCTAGCATCTTAAACACTAGACTATCATTCCTATTAGATGGCTAACTAGGACAGAAATAAGAACCCATACTGTTGTCTAAGGAAAGATTTTAAAGCTACGTGCTCCACCAGTTGGACTGATTTTCATGAGACAAGAAAAACAAGTTTGATTCCTGTCTCTTTCTGTCTTTCTGAAAAGTTTAGCTCTTAAAAATGATTGTGCCCAGAAACTAGTAGAATAAAGAAATTACTGTCCTGTATGTAAACTCTGAAGAAATAACTTGGCAGCTCAGAGATTAGAATCCATCTCAGTTTTTAGTACTTGAAATTCCTGAAATGGATTCTAACTATTCTAATGCTGTCTGATCAGCTATATGTCAACAGTGAATTTATCAGTAAAAGAAGGTCAGTGAATTCAAGAAGTTCTTCAGTGCTTATTTTTTGGGATAGCTGGAAAAAGAACAGCATAAATTTAATGAATTGTTTTTTCATTCACTCCTTCCAAACCAGAACCGCCAGTTGCCTTTAGTGAAGAGGAGCGTGTAATCCAAAGCAGTAAGCAGGTGGATGAGGGCTACCACTTAAAAATCTCAAAAATAAGTGTGAAAATTCAGTTATACTCGTAAGACAGAATTCTTAAAAAGTGTTCCCCATATTTTACTGGGACAGGAAAAAATCTGAAATTACTTTAAAAACAGTTTATTAGAAGGGTATTCTTGTACTGTTTTGTTTGTTTTTGCTTATGCCCCATATTTTTCCTGTAAGAAAATTCTTGTTAGAGGTATACCTCTGGTATTAGCTTCCCTGCCATAACATGCTGACCTCTTTGAGAGACTTCATGGTAGTTTTTTTGTGTAAATAGCAATGAAGCCCAAGTACTATGCTTGCTTTCCATCTTCTATGATGATTCTCCTTATGGTGTGAGCCAGTGGCCCCTGGCCTTCCAGCTGCATGGATCCAGATGAGTGGCACAGGGTTAGCCTGGGGCATCAGTCCATGGACTTAGCCTACTGTGCCCAGATCCAGCTGCATGCTGGCCCAACCGTATGCGCTTGAATTGAGCCACACACTGGCATGTAGGACCACTCTATCTAGCTTGCAGGGCTACCTGTGGGTCAGAACATATGGCAGCAGGGCAGCAACAATTAACTTTGCTACTGCTCTCCTACCACCAAATTTCCAGGCCCTTGGGGAGCCCTGTGGGTCAGATGTCATGGCTCCATGAGCTGAATCTGGCCTAGGGACAGAAGGCTTTTAGTCTTTAATTGCTCCCCGTTATGTGCCCAAGGCTGGGTAAAGCTATTATCTCAAAAGCAGGCCTCCTGAATCTTTTATCCTCTGACCTATTAAAGAGGCTTTGCCGCTGAAGCTCCAGAGTCTTTAAATGGGTTATAGTATTGCAGAAAAAGTCATTTGCAACTCTGCCACCTCATGGATTTTTCTCAATATTAAGGGGACTAAAAGCTTTTCTCTTAAAGTAGCACTCTCTCTAGAAGCCTGTTGCCTTGAAACATGGCTTTCTGGATTCAGACTTTAGAAGGCCTGCACTTCACCAGTTTCATCTAAAGCACAGCTTGAAAGAAAAGCATAACTTAAAAACCAAAAGGGGAAATCTGTCTGTCCCAAAGTTAAAGAAGAGCTGTGAGATGTATGTATGTATTTACAGATGCAGAAATCAGCTCTGCTCCAGTCTGAATTGTTTTATGTTGTAACTTGTCAGTCGGTGACATTTTTACAAAAATTCTGGTTCATCCAAGCCATGTTGCTGAAAAGGGTCATTGGATAAGTGGAGAGCATTTAGATCTATGCTGTCATATAGTAACACTTGTAGAAGTAAAGGAGGGGAAAAAAAGGAAGAACTTCACAAATTTGAGATTTGGGTTTTATTTTTGGGATATGTTCAATTAACATGCTTATCTTTAACCCCATGTATACTATATAAATGCTCTGCTGCTTATGTTCAAAGCATTTTATGACCAGGAAGCAGTACATCCTCCTGGTGTGTGTGGACCTATTTCTGAAACATCTTCCTCTGTTTCTTCCTTTATAAATCTCTTGAGGACCACAAAGAGAATAGCTGTCAGGCCTAGATTAAATAGTATGTTCAACCACAGTTTTTCTTCTAACATCTATCTAATAATTACCTATTTTGGCAATAAATTAAAGTGGCTACACTTAAAGTGCACCCCCTTCCTGAACTAGGTGTAGTCTGTCACCCATGCACTAGTTGAGGATAAATGTGTTTTGTGGTTGTAAAACTCTCAAAAAGAATATATTCAAATGCTAAATATGTTTCCTAGGACTGTGCATCTGGTAATGCCTATTCATCCGGGGCTTCAAACATCATGTCTAATTACTAACCATAATGATGTACTACAACCAGTCCTTTTTTCTTTTTACAGTCTGCTAAGTTTGTGTGCCTCTTCTTTTCTTTTCTTTCAGAACCTGATCAATAAGATGTGGCTCGGGGTCCCATCTCAAGATAAAATGGAGATCCGTAGCTGCTTGCCCAAGCTCCTTCTAGCCCATCACAAAACTCTGCCTTACTTCATCAGGAACAAGCTCTGCAAAGTCATTGTAGACATTGGCCGACAAGATTGGCCTATGTTCTACCATGACTTCTTCACAAATATCTTACAGGTAAGAACAAGTCTTTGGAAAACTTCTTTTAAATTGAAAAACAAAGCCAAAATAAAACTCTTAATGGGGACACCTTTTTTTGGCTGAACATTCTCTAATAAATAGGAAAAAGTGGAGAAAAACATAAAAAAAATTTTCCTTGATCATTTTTCTCTGATCAGAAAAGCTAAAGAGGAAGTAGAATTGTCCCCTTTCCCTCTCCCCTCCCTCCCACCCCAAGCGTGCGCACACTTCCTTTGCTCTCAGAAATAGTTATTAGCCATCAAACCCAATTTGACTTTTAGAGACCATTCCTATTGCCTTATTGACTGTCTTGGGAAAATTAGGGAGGATAATATTGTCAACAGGGTCATTAGGAGTAGAAATGCACTGATATATTGGTACATATTGGATCAGCACAGATTAAAAGGAAAATTGACGTTATTGGGAATCAGCTTTTTTTGGCCAGTGCAACAGATGATGTTGCCAATAAATGCCACGTATGTGCAGCCACAGCATGCAGCCAGAAATGCAGCCTGGCAGCGCGGGGAGCCGCTTCCAACGAGTAAATCTGTTGGGGGAAGGAGGGTAGTAGAGGGGGAGGAGCAGATCAAGGCTCCCATGGTGAGGGAGGGAGTGGGTAGGTACGGGGGAGGCACTGCCCAGCTGGGGGGGCCCTCAATTTGCCCATCCCGCTATGTCCCATCCCCCCTACAGACTTACTGGCCAGACACTGCTCTCCAAGCTTTGGGGCTGTATATTGGCTGTCAGATCAGTATTGGCTAATTATGGCTGGTTAATAATCAGCCATCCATATCTGCCAAAAACAATAAATAATCCTTATCCATGCACCTGTGATTAGCCGGTGTCTTTGTTTTCTCTGTTTAAAATATCAACATCTCTGTTTAAAAATTTTTGGCAAATTCTCAGTTTTAAAAACCCCCAAATCCAAGTTTTTCCATGATTAAAATGAAATGCTACGTACGTAAGTACATGTGTACCAACATGGATGTATCAGTTGGACACTATTTTATTGATGTATTTACAATTTAAATCAATTTGGAAGCCTACCAGTGCCTCAACTGTTAAAATAAAATAAATGTTAAATACCTATAAATTTTGGCATTTGATTTTTGGGTTTTTTATCATGGAAAATCAGAGCTCTCCCTGTCCGCTTCGCTCACCAGGACGCAGATCCAGCTGCAACTGTCATTTTCACATACACCCCCCCCGCTTTGTGGCACTGAACAGCCCTGATATGCTATTGCCCCTCACTCCCCATCCACTGGCCCCCTGCCCCCCCGCAACAGTGCCTGAACCCCAGCTGCCACCTGCAGGAGGTGGTAGCTGCTGCAGCAAAGCAAAGTGCAGAGCCCAATTCCCCTCTCTCATGACAGGGCAGGAATGAAGCCTGTTGGGTGTGGTGGGAAACAAATGCCTGCTATGAGCTTGGGGCTCCCTGCCCTGCTGCCCCCCTCCCCCTGAGACCTCCGCAGCCCAGTGGGCAGGACCCAGCACAACAGGGCAGAGCAGGGCCAGGTGGAGAAGACTGCCACTGGGAGCTCTGCATCACCACGGTGAGGTGCCCCCTGCTCACTAGGTAGCCGCAAGTGGCACAACTCCTCACTGCCACCCTTGCTACTGGTAGGCAAGTAGGGGGGTGCCTTGCCATGATGGGGCAGGGCTTGTGGTGAGCTTCTGCACCCCACTTTGCCCTGCCTTGCTGAGTCCCGCATACTGGGCTGCAGAGGCCCAGGGGAGTGCAGCAAGGCAAGAAGCCCTGAGCCCACAGCAGGCAGCCTGCATCCTTCCTCACCATGCACACAAGTCTTAGGGGCATTTGCCCCCCTCCCCCACCGGCCTGCTCCAGAGTGTATGCAGCAGTGAGAAGCTAGTTCCCGGCCCCCAGATGAGCCATGCAAGTGTGAATTTTTTTTAGTGACAAACAAATGCAGAAGTCTAGACATGAAAATTTCTGATTTCAGTTATCGTAAATAGATCATCTAGCCTTGGGGTCCACAGTATTTTTGGGCAGAGTGCCAAAAACACCTGTAACCTTGACTTGAAAAATGTTGGTGTGCTGGGGTGGATGGTGGGGGAGCTGTGAGGGACATGATCCTTGCTGTGGCAGTTTAGTCCCAGCTTCTTTCCAACTGCCCCCACTGAACCACATGTGCCAAACAAAATGCCTTTGCATGCCATGCTGTGGTGCCTATGCCAGGGGTTGTCTACCCTGACCTACCCCCAGCTGGTAGCCAATGGAAAGCTGGATTCATTCAGACTTCTACAAGGGTCTCCAAGGTTTTTAACATCTGAAGCATTGTAGACTCCATAAAACTAATACAGTAGGTATTAGTAAAATTAACGCAGTAAGATCTACAAAACCCTGGATGGTTGGGCTTTTATCACTAGTATTGAAGAACCTGTTGTTAATAGACTGTATGGTTATCTTAAGAGACATCAGAGTTCATACAGGAAGGCTGGGATACCTATAAAAATATAATGGTTTAGGTCACTGGTGCTTGACCTGTTTCCCTGGCAGGCCAGATGAGCAGTGTCTGGTCCCTCTGCAGGCTGGATCCACCCCATGGCCCCAGTCTGGTGCCCTGGGGCAGGTGCGTTGGGGCCCCATCTGGTCACATGGGGCAGGAAGCAGCCTGGCTATGAATTCAGCCACCCGGGGGGGAAGGGAGTATGGCCCAGCCCTGTGTGGGGAGGGGATGTGGTGCAGCTCTAACCCAGCCCCATGGGCAGTGGAGGGCCCCAATTCAGCTGTGCAGGGAGGAAAGGATGTGGCCTGCCCTATCTAGCTGGGGGGGGGTGGGAGTGGCATGGGAGTTTGGCAGCAGGAGAGAATAATCATATTAACAGTCACTGCTCCCCTGCCGCCAAATTTCCTGACCCATGGGGGCCCCATGGGCCAAATGCTGTGACTCTGCAGGCTGCATTTGGCCCACAGGCTGGAGGATGAGCCACCCTGTTTAGATTGTCAGAAGTTGCTGGTCTTTGCTCCAGTGTTTGAGCACTTTTATACAGTCAGATTCACTGGCAAGCTTTAAGTCTAAATGTATTACATAACTTTGGAGTAAATGTTTCTTTTTTTAAGTTAATCCTTGTGTTACTTAGGTTCTGTATCTTTCCTGAATCCAAATTTGTACTCTTACAATGTTTGTAATATAGGACTGGTAAAGCATGTTGTCAGGAAGCAGCAACATTTTAATGGGACTAGTTATACTTGTTTCAGTGCAAGAAACTTCTGAAAGGTGATATGTACAAACTAACGCAATATCTTTGGATGCTCTTTATCATTTGATTAGATTATTTCCTGTACTCCAGAACTGTTCCTTGTTGATTTTATATGCTGAACAAAAGAGCCCAATTTAAACTTAAAACAGTTGCACACTTTTCCTGCTACATAGTGAAAAAGTTTTTCTGCAAATGATTTGCAGTCGCACTGAAAGTCTAAATGTGAGAGTTGTAAGCTATTTATTTAAATAAACTATCACCTTGCTGCTAGATGTCAAGAACTCACCTGTTACCACAAAGGCACCTTGCATTACTTGTCACTTCAAGAAATACCAATTCCTTATACAAGGCTTAAGCTACTAGCTAATACAATTTCTTTGCACAGCAGGCCTCTGGTCATGCAATACAATTTGCTGAAACTTTTCCAGAAACTCTTGACTTGCCAACTCTTGAATTAGCACTTACAGATAGCTGGCTGCATTTAGAGTTTTAATTTGCTGCAAGCTTTACCTGGGTTTGCACTTAAAATGCATTCTAAGCTCTTAGGCAGACAAAACTCTTGGGGTAGAGGCGATATCTTTTATTAGACCAACTAGATAATTGCACAAAAAAAAATTTATTTGCAAGCTTTTGAGCTCAACACCCTTTGTCAGGCCAAGGGGAATTCAAAAATTGTAAAATTTCTCCCAGGTAGAAACAAAACTTCATATTGCACAGGAGAACTAAAAGATGGTATGGTTCTCCTGGGT